GTGTGGATTTCATTTACCATACTGTGTGATTATATGCTAACACAGTACTACTTGCAGTTATATATATATCAACATGGGACAAACTCTTTTAGAAGATGCGTGGAAATGAGTACTCATATCAACAAACGTAATGCTGTATCTATGTATTAGTGAATGATTTATAGTTCCCAAACTAAATTTGTAATTCGTTATGAGTAGGGTTATGTCAGGGTGGGAGGCGTATATTAGTATTATATTGTTATACTCATTTGAAGGTAAGAAGAACAGAAAACAGGAGAGAAGTATTGAAAATGTGATATATCATCCAGAATTCATCATATCCTTTCGTCGAATAATAAAGTTAGACCGAACTTTTCATTCTCTTCGTAAACATATTTTCTAAATTTGATAAATTTAAGTATTTAAGTTTTAAAATTAGAGTATTTGACCTACACTGTAGTAATATTAATTTGATGATATGGTGAGCTACATTCAAAGGCAATAACAAAGCATGTTGAAATAAATGTAGTGAGCTTTGAAATGTAAATATCACAAACACGATGAAAGAAAAAAGAAAAAGATTATACTAAAATATAAGATATGAAATATAAGAAAACATACTGGAAAATATATATGTCAATAGGCTATAAATACATCAGTAGCATAACCTGGTTATATGAAAATGAAATACAGGATATATTTTTCTCTTCGAATTATTTGTTTGTATCATTCTTCGTACTTTATAAAATCTCCTCGTTATTCTGTATAGGTCCTGAACAAATTTTTAAGAGAAAAAAATCCACACAATTATATATATAAAGAACGTCATGAATTATAACCAAAAAATATGTTTTTTTCCTTTTTGAATATCTGTGTTTTTCTTTCTTTATTATTAAAATACTAATTCCACATAGTTCAGTGTTAACTTTCGTACTCTTAGTCTTATAATGTTATATTTTCTATTTACATGAATCATTCGCTTAACGTTAAAGAATTGTTGAGTGCATACTGTTTCAAAATAACTAATGGTAAAATAAAAGCTCTCTAATATTTAGTTTTATGTATATTCTAAATAATCAGTTCAATTTAATGTTGACTCCTTAATTCTCATCAGCTTATACTAATTTCCCTTCTCAGTTGTTTTAAAATATGAAGAAAAAATCAAATGGAAATAACAAATAAGTGCAAACATGACATCATTGTACTTGAGCTATTAAAGAACATATAGATGTTCGAGTTTCTATGTTGTACCTTTTTGATTCCACATAAAATATTGTATATCCACATGTCGCTGCATGAAAAGGCTTTGCAAATAAGAAAATTAGGATGGGAGGGTGGGTAAAGAAACAGAAAAGGGAAGAAGAAGGAGCAGATAAGAGACAAAATGAAGTCAAATTTAATAGGAAAAAGAAAAATAACAAGAACGAAATCAGAAAAGGCACACGGGTTGTTGTTGTTGTTTGTTCTGTTGGTGTCGCGACCCTCTGTTTGTTTTGTCTGTTATACCTCATAAAATCCCGTCCTATTTTGGGGGATCTATTTTTGTATCACTTGTGATTTTTTTTAATGCAATTTTTTTCTTCTTATTTACTATTGTAATACTTAAATATAAGACAAACAAGGTTTGCAATTACACACACTGTATGATCTTTATATTACTATGTTCAGTATTTTTACCAGAAGTATGTATCAGTAGATTATCAATTATTGATATAATTTGTAGAGCATGTTCCAAATACGTTAATGAAAAATAAAAAACAAAAGGTTTGTTAAAAAGGTTGTGTTATGACCAATAAAATCACTTAATAACAACCCCACAAAAGGCACGAGGAAGGAGGAGGTGAAAATAATTAGGGAAAACCAGTTTTGAATCAAATTCAAAGTGTGTTTTTTCCTGTACATAATTGTATATTTCGTTTGATATAATTCTAAATCATATTCGTCTGAATATAAGTCATTTGCTTATCTTTTACCATTCAAATAACCATCGATATTTCTTGCTGTGTTAGTTAGTTTTACATCAAAGTTAAGTTCCTGTTTGTATATCGAAATGTCGTATTTTGGTTTCATGAATTCTGAACTCAACTCCAACGATTTTCGGAGAAGAAAAACAAGCTTAGCTTATCTCAAAAGCCTTGTTGATCATGATTTAAAGAATTTTAAACACTAAAATGACATAATGAGCCAAACTTTTTTTCAAAGCAATGCAAGAATATATTGATTCTGAAGTGGATTCTGCATTTGATTTCTTGACAGCCTTTGCGATCGTATATTTTGTTTTTCTTTTGTTTCGAGGGTGATCAAATGAAATCAAAATAGCTAAATAATGAAAGAGTTTGAGAAATGTTGAGTAGAGAAAACAAGACAAATACGACGTATAAAGAAAGAAGGAGAAGGAGGAAGAGAAGCAGGAGGAGGAGGAGGAGAAGGAGAATTGGGCAATGCCGACCTACAAATCTTCCCATCACAAATCGACCTACAAACGCCGCTGAATCCCGTCGGGATGGTGGCTGCCTATTATCGGGGAGTTTCTCCGACCATGACCTTGTACCATCTGTGACTTCTCAGCGGCCTTCGGTGCGACAGAAAAAAGATTAGTGTTCTTGCAACTTGTCTAAAAATGCAATGTATCGGTTGGTTTGTATGTTTGTTTCCCTCTTTTTTGTTTTCAAATTTTGTTCAACCCTCTTTCGAATTGATACTTTAGAATAGTTCATACGATACTATTGAATAGTTCATACCTTCGCCACTTTTATTATATTCTTAAATTGCAAATTCTTTGCGCTTTTTTTGTTCATGCTTCATAAGTGTGTGTTCCTTTTTTTCTTCTTCTTTTTCATTTTCCGTTGATTTTTTTTCTTCATATTTTTAAAATCCTTTCCCCCTTCTTATGCTTCTACAATGCTCCACATTTGGTAAGTTCACTTCGAAGTGCAAATTTTGATTAGCTTATTTCTAGTCGATTATGGTAAACAACAATATTATATACCCTCCTGCGTAAAATTAAGAAGCTTCATGAAGCTTCAAAATTTTGCAAAGCTAACTTTACTTATCAAAATGCTAGTTTTTCCCTCCTCTTGCACTGCACTTTATTGCTCAGAGTAAGTTGAATATTCTAATGGAAGCAATTTTTGTATTTCAAAAGGAAAATCAAAGAACTGTCATCGGCAAGAATTTTAAGACCTATTATTGTAATTCTTTCGTTTGTGATACACCGCAGGGTTAAGTAAAATTATTTTCAACCACATTAAATAATAACATGATGCTAAAAAAAACTAAATATTATAAAACAAGAAGCATGTTTGTATTATTTTATTACTTGTATAGCCTGTGATAATCAACTTTACGATGAATCTTCCTGCCAAATTGTCTATTGTGTACATGATTTACTGCTAGAGCTACACTGCTTTGCATATTCGAATCTTTTATTTTCCATTATCTGCGGTTTTTTGTAAGGCAGTCGTGAAAATTCTTATGGAAGATTACCATTTTTTTTTATAAAGCGTTACAGTACCATATACTAATAACGAGTGAGTGTACTAATGGCATAATAATGGTGAAATATAGGAATATGGAAATCCTCAAATTTTATGACATAAGTACACAAGTAGAAGTAATCCATTCATAAAGGAACCCTGCACAAATTTATCACTTTACGGATAACATATTGCATAACTATTATAATGTACTGATAATTTGTCTTTCTCGAATTTCCACCTCCATAGAATAGATGGTATTTTCATTTGATAAAATCTAAACTTATTTTAAGATTTCGAACTGCATTTGGAGAGCAACCAGTACACATTTTAAGCAATTATTCAAGTCAATGTATAGGTTTACTCAGATTAAGAAGTTTTTTTTTTTTAAATTGATTTATAGTTGGAAATAACACTCGTCGAATCAGGGCAAAATACAACTTTTGTTCCCTATCGTCTAGGTCATATATTGCGTAATATATATATAATACTATGTGCGAAAGAATATTGAAACCATCAACGAATAACTATATTAAAAAACTATTGCATGAAATATTATCATACACGCACATATTCGACAGTTTGGAATCCGGTGAATGTAAGAATTCGGTTAAAATTTATTCATAATTCACATATGTGAAATCAACGTCAATACTCTGAGTTTACATTTGTAATTTAAAAACACTGAAGACATGTAATTTTTAGTTTACAGTCACACTTTCATAATCCATTACGAAACCAGACATTTTTTCTATATATTACATAAATAAAATGTGTATTATGAGAACATTTTGTTATGAGTTAGTACGTCTTGTGAATATTGTAAGGTAATGTCGATTTAGTTCTAAATACAGTTGTGACTGTGCATCTGCATTTGATACAGAGCGAGTTAAGAGATTTTCTTTGAAAATGTCAAGTACATTTATTGAATTATACCAATGCTGCTGACAAAAATAAATGTTTGCGGTCTTTTTCCCGAAATTAATTGATGTCATCTGGCTAAAATGAAATAAACAAAATACAGACTGATCAAGCTAAAAGTGATATTTTTTACCTCACGTACCCAGAATGAAAAATGAAGATTTGGTTCATACATTATAACAAATATAATTCCATGCATGAATCAGATATTTCTTTATGATTATATGAGATAATTTAATTTACACCACATACCTCAAGATTTATCTTCATTTTAATCATATAATAATAACTAATCGTAATTTTCATTGTATATCAGACATGTTATTGATAACTATGCAAGAAAAAATATTTTGTGAACCATATCTTTCGTTTGCTGATGTTAAGGATTTGGTTGTGAATTCGAATATCTCCAGCAAAACTATATTTGTTTTAAATCTAATTAATTAAGGAACAGAACGGATTTTCCGATACTTAATTAAGTCAAAGTAAAAATCCATTTTGTAAGATATCGACTTGGTGCAGACGATTTTGTTAATCGACCTGCAACTCTTTTTTACTGTCTTTTCTTTCTCTATTTTTTATATTTGGGATGGGGTTCTGAAAGGACTTATTTCTCTCACTTACCTGCCATGTTGAAAGGGTATGTGGCAGCAGAGGTTGGGTATGAAGGATAGTTGAAATAAGAAAGATGTTGCTGGTGAGGATGAGGAGGTGGGGCCGTGGCGGCAGCATTGTACATGGCTGCCGCAGCGCTACCCATGGGCGACGGGTAGCGTATGTGGGCTCCTGCCCCCGTTCCACTCAGGTCGAACCGTTGAGGCTGCTGGCCAGGGTGCAGCTCCATGCTCATACCGTTGAACTGAAAGGTCGGTGTTGATCTGAGAGTTCTTGTCTGATCATCGGCCACGGGTGAGATTCCCGGTGGACTGCTGGCCGTCGGCAGACCCATGGAGCCCGTGGTCGTAGCGGACACCGAGGGTTGCAAGAACCGGCAATCGGGACGGGAATTGACGTAGGCGAAGTGGGCTGTGGCAGCTCCAGGGTGATGCATGTAAGCCCTGCCGCTACCTGCCGCAGTCGACGTGGAGGCTGTGGTGGTGACGACCCGATCTCCAGCAGCTCCACTTATCTGCATGAAACCAGCACTTGTCATTCCTGCGGGATTGCGACCCTGAAATGTTCCAGATATATTACACGAATTACTCGCAAAACCTTGTGGGACGTTTTCCATTTTGTGTTTTAACTCCTCGTTTAACCAGTGCTGATAACGATTTTGAGATTGCCCTTCAACTCTTCCAGTTAAAAAACAAAACGAGTTGCCCTACTATAGCAATCAAGTGCAACCCTGCTTGAACGACAATGTTGACGATGTGCTGCTATATGTGAAGATGTTCTTTATGTCCTTCTTTATTGAGGAATAGAAAAGAAAATTAACGAAAACGACACACATTTACTACGAAAAAGAGCAAAAATGGTGTGCTAGAAGAAATACTATTGTGCTGTTATTTCTCAGGTAACCTATCTCACGCTAAAAGAGTAGATTATTGTAATTGCCAACCTTTTGCATGAATCCAAACATTGGTTTATGACAGGTATTCTGCTGGCTTTATGAGGTGCTTATGCTGCTGAGGAATGGAGGCCGAGTGGGAGATGGGCCCTGGAGCGAGGATAACGAGAGTTTGAACTTGACCTCTTTCGACACCCTTACACGTAACTAATTATCGCCGTCGCCTATAGCCAGCTCCCAGTTTCAGCCCAGTACACAGCTGCCGACCCGTTCTTCTCTCATTTTTCTCTTTAGGTGGCGGCGTCTTTTGAGGAAATTTCTTTTCCAGATCCAAGTCGTCAATCATGACGGGGCTGTACCGACTTATACGGGTTGGACTGAGAAGGATTTGGGGAGACGTAAGCATGACGTCACCAAAGTGGGCAATAACACATTAGTTTCATCGCAACAAACAACAAAAACAATAATTGCTTAGACGTTTTCCGTCAATGCCTAGTTCTTGTTCGCGTCCTGAATACTAATTTTATTTAAAACTTCTTCTTGATCTTCCTGGAATTTCCATTTGTTTTGCACGCAGATTCTTATATTACTTTAAAATTACGTATGCATATTTGTTACCATTCCGTCGTGTGCACTGACATCTTTGTATTCCGAAATCGGTCATGTATAGGGCCGTCCAGGGGCCATTTTGTAAATTTTGGTTCCGTTGTCATGCCTTTTTTCTGTGTCGTGTCTCCACTATGCCAGGTTCTACTTTTAACGAATTATAGATAACCCAATGAATTCTCTTCAATCTGGGCCCCGTCTTACAAAGAGTTGATATCAATCGCAACTTATTTGCAATTGATATCAATCTCAACTATGTACATAAGAGATAGGAGACTGCAAACTTGCGATTGATTGGAGGACTTACGATTGATTTGGATCAATCGCAACTCCTTGTAAGACGGGGCCCAGGTATGCATAACCTGCCCTCAAAACTGTCATATTCATACCCTAAATTTAAGTCCGAGGTTGACTCCCGTACAAATCGTTAACATTTTAAAAATAAATTGTTTAAAACTTTCAGAGGATCTTTATCTCAACGTTGCACACACAAATGATGAATTTCACCCACCAGGGTTTTACGCATGATGACAATACCGCCCTCTTAATTACTGAAAATGGCCGTAGCTCTATCATAAAACCCGTACCTTTTTTTATTTGTATTTAGATACTTCAAGAAACGTTCTTTCCATCCATATAAAAAAAACTTATACCCTACTACTGACCGACATTGCAAAAATTGCTGTTGAAAATCAAAAAATTTTGAAACAACTTCAATTTGCAATGAAATCCCATTTTCAAATGATACCAGACCCAGTATATGTTTACATAATACAGTTTTGAATAAATCTTATTGAAAATGGTCTGCATTATTATGTTAGTATGGAAGGCAATTTAGGCCAGAACGCGTGTCAACGTGTTCTTCTTTCTACCAAATTTAATTCGTTTTGTTCGCAGTACTTGTTAAGACTTTTTAGGTCAGTTCTTCTATTCCAATTCTTTCCAAACTTCGTAAGCATAGTCTTCGGCACCCCATTGTGCTCTCCAAACTCTTTGTTTTCTAAAATTATTCACGTATGACCGTACATACACTATTCATTCCTTACAAGTGTATTCACTTTAATTTCATCATATCGTCAAGATTAGCACTATTGGAGAGGTTGCGTTTCTTGTATTAGATGATTACAAAATGACCAAAATTTATGATTAATAGAAGAAGTTAACAACATGTTCAAAAAATGGTTTAATAACCAGAGTATCAAAAGAGTACAATGGACAGCTAATAGGGGAATAAATGAAAACCCATTCCAATTTTGAAGTAAAGAGAATAACGGACAAAGAAAACAAAATGTTTATAACGTTTACGTTTGCGAATTTCGTTAAAATGGTATGTTGGTTACCATTATAATGCTATATGAACTGTGACCAACCTAGTATCAAAATATTAAACAGTGCGCTTTATTCATCCGTGACTGGTCATAATATTACATCCGTTCAAATTTGTAATGAGTTTTAATTGTAAAAAGTGCATGGCCCTTTTAATGACGATGTTAACTACGTTTTATGGAATCTGGCAAGGTGCTGATTCGGGGTATAACACCCTTACATCCCTTTACTGTCTTTTAATCGCTAACTTGGTGAGTAAAGTCGTAAATAGGGTCAAGTGGGGGCCGGGGCAAGTAGGAATATCTAAAAAAAAAAAATCTTCGTTTTGTTGCCGCCCGACATTTCCTCACGCTGTTTCACGTCCCTCTCACAACCTCGTCCCCAAATAAATAGAAAACACTATGTAGATTGGCTGTTATACCTGGTACTAAGGTGATAAAAGTGGGCACGGCCTTCCTCGTATAATGCGTATGAGATGAAATAATTAGTTTTTCTGATTGATGGTTTGTTGAATATTTAATGTCGCTCACATTTTGCTTCTTTTGTGTTTTCGACTGATGCTTCTGCGAAAGTTTTTTTTTTCATGAGACCGGTATTGTTAGTCACGTGGACTGTTAGTTTACCGGGATGTCCCAGCAAGAAGGCAATCTGCACTGTGTCTTAACGGGTCTCTTCTAGCATGCATTATGACCGGACAATCATACAGCGACTACAATTCTATGGTTCGAACATCAGCCGTCTGCGTCCATCTTCTCTTTCTTTGTCTGTTTATTCTTTTCTTTTTTCTTCATTTTCTTTCAAAGCAAATATTTTACCTCTCTGCGTCAGTAAAGAGAAATTATATATATATATATATATATATGTTAGTTATGACGTTTCCATAATCAGCCTCAGGATCGAGTCCCTTAGAGGTTTTAAAAAGTCCAGATCAGAATCGCAAAGACTTTCGGAAAATCAACCCAAACCATTAGTAGCTTTGCCTGTGGATCACCTAGTGACATTGGAGAACATAACGACGGCTTGCGTTATTCGCACATGATTGTTATGGGATATACAAGGTTCGGTTTAGCTTTCATATTACACATTTAATGTTACACATTGGCAGCTTTGTTACAAGAAATAATAATGATAATCATTATCATTTTGTAATAAAAAGTACATGAATTTATTACATCACTTTGGATCGATTGTAGTTGTGAAAAAAGGACTAAGTTAAATTGGAAATGACATGAAGGAGAAAAATATAGCTTGATGGTAATAGAGTAATGATACTGTCCTTCGGTTGAGTTTTCGAAAGCAATTGCGATCGGGTTCAAACGAAAGTCAGGAGCATTATCGACTCTCCTGTCTCTTTTTCCTGACCACTTGGTCGAATGTTACACAATACATAAATTGACGTTACTCAATCATTTACCCTCTAATCTGCAAAATTCAGAAAAACTTGAATAGGGATTATGTTAAACGATGTACTTCTTTATAATGTCATAGCGTTAATGCCATAACGTGGCATAAAGTAGCAGACAAAAAGAAAGAAGAAGAAGAAGAAGAAGAAGAAAGAAACACGCTACTTTAGGTGGTAGTGGACCCTCAAAATTGTCCCTGAATGATGTTATCATCATCTTTTTGCTCAGGATTCAATTTTGACTCAATCATCGTCCTTATTTCAGATTTTGCGATAGATGCGTTGTTATTACCGTACATAAGAGGTTTAGGGGGCGGGGATTATTCAACTTCCAACTTTAAAAGTTTTACGTTTCAAAATGATCCACTCTGTTAATCTAGTATGTTGTCACTGCTAGCAGCTGTTCTGTACTATCTCCTTATGTAATGGCTATCATGAATATCATCAATATTCTGGCCTGAATTGTTAAAAAATATAGATTTGCATCCGATTCACCATTTCCACACGGTGATATACTGTACCGTATTATAAAAAAGTCACAGTTTTAAATGTATCCAGAATAGATTATAATACCTAAGTCAGCTTATGAATAGCTCACGGTAGTAAACCGTGTACTCTTAAACCTCACATATATAATAATGATGACTATATAACAATGATACTATATTAATAATAACAAATAGTGATAATTGCAATATATAATATGATAATAATAATATTAACAATAATATCAATGGCAATACTATTCACAACCCCTCTACTAAAGGGGTTATTTATAATTGTAATATTTAACCAATAAAAATCCTGATGTGGAATAAAATCCAAAAAGGTGAATGCCATAAAGTTCGAACAAATAAAGGCGTCATGCTTTTTTTTTTTTAGCTGATTGAAATATTTGCATATATAGTGTCAGTCATTTGTTTCGGATTAGGAAGGCACACAATATTTAAAAAAAAACTGTGTCATATTCATAAGTTGGTATAGGGATTATAATCTAGGTACAGATAAAACTGTAACTTTTTCATAATACTTCCGTGTGAAATCGGTGAATCTCGTGAATTTTAAAATTGGTAGGTTACACCTCAGCTAAAAGCTAAGCGGGCGAAAGGTAAACAGCCCAGTGCGCATGTGCCACAGTTACGCAAAGGCGAGGGTCTCCCCAAGAAGTATTTCAATCTATTTCTTCAAAATGTAAGCAACCATTGCTACCTTTTATAATAATGATATAGATTTCAGTACCGACAAAGAGGGGAGGGGGAGAAGGGAATGGGGAGGGGGGCACGAGAGAATGCAGGGGAGTTGTTGTTACATTATCTCTGCATTATGCTGGATACACCGCCACTACATTGGACCGAGAAACATTATAGAAGGGAAAGTTATGAATTTTGAA